CCATTGGGGGAGAGCCCCCCCCCGGGGGGGGGGGGGGGAACCGTGTCACTAAATCAGCCCAGGATTCAGCACCGTGCCCTGCTCCTCACCCCTGATTTCTTCCCTCAGTTTCCCCATCTGTAAAATGGAGGACACGCTGCCAAACCCTGCTTGAAAACCGCTGTCAGATGCAGAAAATGTAAGTGAATTGCTCAGGTGATGCTCGTCGGCTGTCGTGCAACACATCAAGGGCACAGGACAATCTGCTTCAGGAACCCACATCCCCTCAGCCCTGTGACCAGCAGGGCTAATGCCAGCCCAGACCCAGCAGCGATGAATGGAAAAAAGCAACAATTCTGCCCTGGAAGGAAGTCAGTCCTAACAAGGCAATTGGCCTCTCTCATCCTCAAAGCCTAATTAACCAAATCGTCTGCGTTTGTGGGAGAAGAGAGGGGCAAGTGGGAAGCTCCAGGAGGAATGGCTGATGGTGAGCACTGTCCCCAGGTGGGGTGTGGGTACTGGTGGGATGTGGAGCTGAACCGTGGCATTGCCCTGGGAGCTGGGCATCCTCCCAGCCCTGCTGGGGCTCCCTGTGAGCCTGGCATCTCCGTGAGGGACAGCAGAGCCCTCTGCGGGGACACAAATGCGGTGGCCTTTCTTGGACTGGGGGCTGTGCTCATCCCATCACTGCTGTGCCACGGTGCTGTTTGTGCCCGGTTTGTCCCAGTTTCCCTGTAGGATACGGGGTAAATGATCAAGTTGGTCCATGATGACCCCCATGGAGGCAGCCCCCAATGCAGAGAGGGGAGCTCCCAGCGAGGTGGGCAGCTGGACCTCATCCCAGGGCAGGCAGGGTGACACGGGGTGAGGAGGGGGGGATGCAAGGGGGCTGGCGTGGGGCTGGGGGACACCGGGCATGCTGGCATGAGGTTGGGGGCCCAGGAAGAGTGGTGTGGGGGTACCTGGACATGTTGGGGGTATATGGGCATGCTGGCATGGAGTTGGGGGCCCAGGAAGGGTGGCACGGGGGGTATAGAGGTGCGCTGGCACGGGGTTGGGGGAGCCCAGACAGGGTGGCATAGGGGTATACAGCACACTGGCATGGGGTTGGGGGCCCTGGAAGGGTGGTGTGGGGGTACACATGGGATGGTGTAGGGTTGGGGACACCAAGCAGGGTAGCCTGGGGCTGGGGGAGCCCTGGCAGGGTGGCATGGGGGTACATGGACATGTTGGCATGGGGTTGGGGGACCCCTGGCAGGGTGGCATGGGGGTACATGGACATGTTGGCACAGGGTCGGGGGACCCAAAGCGGGGTTGCCCAGGGCTGGGGGGTTCCAGTCTGGCCGGGGTCACCCCTTCCCCTTCGGTCCCGGCAGCTCGGGGAGGGCACCCCCGTGCGCTTCCCCGCATTTGGCCGCCGGCTCTGCCCGTTCCCCCGCCCGCAGCCGCTAGCCCGGGGCCGCGCATCATCGCCGCCGTCCCCC